CTTCGCAACCGGCTGCGACCGCTGCTTGGTTTTGCCGCGGGCGGCTCCGCCTCTTGCCTCGGCGGGAACTGGGGGAGGCATGAGTGGGGGGAGGAGAGAGGCAGGCGAGGAGGGAGGGACAGGAGGAGGGAGCGACCATCAGGGGAGGGATGAGGAGGGGAGGGGGGTGAAGGTGAGATGAGGGGGGACGATGATTAGAGGGGGTGGTGGCGAGGGGGGAACGATGATTAAGAGAGGGGTAGAGATGAAGAGGGTGAGTCGGATAGGGGAAAAAACAACAAAAACAGAATAGGCCCGGGATGTGTCGACGATGCGTCAGTACACCCTCCTGTCACAAATCCACTCCTCACGTGCCCAACGCATAGGCAACGTAGGCAAGGTATTGGTCTCAAGGCTTTGTCTCGCGTTCTGCCAGGTTCGCATTTCCACTGGGAATGTTCGGGGCGGCAGGCGATCATTACCAGCAGCGTCTGGAATATTAGTTCACAGTGCCTACCTGAGCCATCGAGAACAAAGGCCAGACCATCAACATGTTGACGGGCATTCGCTCGGCAGATTTGTCAGAACCTCCAACGCTGGGCCAACTCTGATGAGCATGTTGACCCCGATAGCTTGTTGCCTCAATCACAGTTAAATGAATGGTGGGGGCCCGAGTGGGCGCCAACCTATTCTTTGATCGCCCGCACAACCAGCTCATTCCAGCCCGAGGCGATGGCGAGGAAACCGATGTGCGAACCTTGTGCTTTCAATGCTCGCTCACTGCTTCTGCCCTCCCAAAACATGAGAAGCAACCGTGTCCCGCACGCCTGCCCGCCCGCCTGCTTCATGCCGCCGGCCCTCGCCTCCTGCCTGCGCGCTCGCCGTCGTGTGCTCTTCGTTTTGCCCGTCGCCTCCCTCCCGTTGCCGTGCAACACTGGCTGTTGGGAGCTGGCGGCGCAGCAAGTCCGGGAAATCTTCTGGCACATTGCCTCTGGACGCCGGCACGCTCTCCAGCGCGGCCGCGCTGCAAGCCGCCCAATTCTGGTGGCGGACACGCGCGGCGAGGCAACCGGATGAGCGAGCTGCGGGGTCGCGGACAGTGAATGGCTGTCTCGCTCGCTGCCTGGCTGCTTCCTGGTGGCCCCTCCTCGCCCAGGCAGGCTAGAAATGGCACTTGCACGCAGCTGGGGCGAGGGGAAGGGGAGTGACGAAAGCAGGGCGGGCGAGGAGAACGACGACGATGGCGAGCACGAGAATGACGATGAAGAGTAACAGTAACAGTATGAGGAGCAGTGGGGAACATATGGTGGTGAAGTGATGACGAAAAAGGAGGACGTGAAAGACGAGGAGGATCGCAAAAAGAAAAAATGCCCGCGAGACGGATCATCGGGCCGGAGGAAAGGGAGGTTGCAACAACGGGGGAGGCAGCGAATCAGCTCACGCAGTTGGCTTTCCCAGCACCAGTGACGCTGGTGAGTCGAGGAACGCGCCCGCCGGCGGGGCTGAAACCAGCGGCATGCAGTAGATTTCGCCTCCCCCCCTCCTTTCCCAATCCCTCCCCTTGCGTGCGACGAAACCGAGACCTGGACAAAGTCGGATCAGGATAAAAATCGGGTCTCTGAAACTGGAAGATGCATCGGGCGCCGCGGGCCGTTCCAGAGCACCCCAGAGTGCTCTCACAGCGTGGCCCGGTGGTGATGGCGACCCGCGCGCGCGAGCTACGCCTCCACATGGAGCCGAAAAGCTGGGGAGAGGACCATGCGGGGGGATCAGCTGTCATCTTCCACTGCCCCAGGCCAGGCCTGAGGCAGCGGATATGTACAGATCTCGTTGTCCTCATTTTTTTCGTCTGACCCCTGCCCGGACGCCCAAAGTCAGGATGTTTGTTTCATGGCCTCCTGTGGTCTCGGTCCATTCCCTTGGGCCGAAATCGTGTTTGGCGGTCGGATGCATACATACATACATACATACATACATACATACATACATACATACATACTTGCATGCTTGCATGCATGCATGCATGCATGCAATCATTCACCCAGACATGCACACACACATACGTACACACATACATACATACACACATACACACATGCATACACGACTTCATACATACATACATTCATATATGCACGCATGTATGCACATCCACATACACACATACATACAACCATACGTACATATATACACACATGCATGTCTGCATGCATGCATGCAAGCACACATCAAATGCATCCACACGTACATACATACATACATACATACATACATACACACATACATACATACCCACATACGTACACACATACATACATACTTAATTGCTTGCTTACTTAACATGCATGTATACATACATATATACATATACACACCCATACACACATACGTACACACATACATACAAGCGCACACACATACATACATACACGCACACGCATACACACATATACACATACACATGCATTCATTTATACATGCATACATGCACATACGCATGCATACGCATATACGCATACACATACGCATACACATCCACATGCACCTACACCTACACCTACATCTACAACTACTAGAACCATCGCGCGCGCTTTGCGCGCTCAATTTCTAGCTAAGCTGGATGGTCGAACTCTTGGGGGTCTCTATCATGACACTTCTTCTTCGGGGCTTCCAACAATCACGAAGACGGCCCACGTGGCTTCCAAAACTTCCTACGGTCCACCCGCGACGGCTTAAGACAGGCCCAGAAAACACTTCGGGGGCCCGTTTATTCGCCGCGGCTGGACGTAGCCGGACGAAGAGGGAGGAAAAGGGGAGGTGAAAGGGTTCCAGAAGGGACGGGCCCCCTTGGGCGATCTTGGGCGCCTCTTGGGCCGTCTTGGGGCACTCTTGGGCCGTTTGGGGGCTCTCTTGCGCCGTCCTGGCGCGCCCTTTGGGTGCCTCGTGGGCCGTCTTGAGCTGATTCCTGGGGCCTCCTGGGCTGTCTTGGACCGTCTGAAGCACGAAAAAGCGAGGGCATGTTGGCCGTCTGGAGGCCCTCTTGGGCTGTCTGAAAGCCATGTTGGACCAACATTGAAACGCTCTTGTGCGGTCTTGGGCTCTCTTGGAGCGCTCTTGGGCCATCTTGGGGCTTCTTGGATGACTCTCGGGCCCTCTCGTCGCCCTCCTTCCCCTCCTTTGACGCGCTCTGGCGGCCCCCGAGTCCAAAACGGTCGGGTACCGAATCAGTGAACTCTGGGCCCCCCAGGACCCCACTCCCCATTTGCATGTATATATATATATATGTATATATATGTGTGTATATATATATATATATATTATGCAAGGCCCCAAGACGCACGACCAGAGATGGCGGCGCAGGCGAAGCCTGAGGGATTGCACAGCAATTCATTACTACGAACTGGCATCGATCGGCCGAGAGCCGAAGTGAATCCAATGCGTATGCCAACGAAAGCAATGCCTATCATACAGTCGTGCACGACACAACACTGCAAACAGACTGCACCCAGGTGGCGGTGGGAGAAGGCGGACGGTGCCGAAAAACTCGAGCACAAGTATACAGACGGTCGTGCTCAAAGAGAGGCGAGGCACAAATCACTTCAAAGAACGACAACATGCAAGGCCCCAAGACGCACGACCAGAGATGGCGGCGCAGGCGAAGCCTGAGGGATTGCACAACAATTTATTATCACGAACTTGCATCGATCGGCCGAGAGCCGAAGTGAATCCAATGCGTATGCCAACGAAAGCAATGCCTATCATACAGTCGTGCGCGACACAACACTGCAAACAGACTGCACCCATATTTTCCCGTATTCGGAGCTGGTGAGTCCACAGGGCTCCTCGGGGGCAACTTCGGGCTCACCTTGACGCAGTGCGGCCAAAGTCGAAACATGCTTGGGCAGCTAAGCGTTTACTCACGAGACTGGCGGCCGACAGTTGAGCACGGGACATCTTGGCGAGCTGGCGAGTCAAGCGGCCGGCCTTCTCGTACCGTCTCACGCTCGCAGCGCACTTCCAGCGGCCGTGGCGCTGCACCTCTGCGAGGGAGCGGTACTTCAGAGCGAAGTCGACCGATGCACCGCCGTGCCGCAGGGCGTGGGGGCACAGGCGCAGCCTCTGCAGGCCGGCCGCGTCAGCCGCCTGCCGAAAGGCGGCCTCGAACTCACGGGCCGTGAATGGGAAGAGCGGCCTGGTGGCTGGAGTGGCCCGCTTGAGGTCACGGACGAGCCTGGCCACCCAGCGCCTGGGAGCGGCCGCCGCCGCGCTGCCGCCGACGATAACCGTGTCGTCGTACTCGCCGGACTTCGTCGTCGCGGACGGCGGGCAGTCGGGCGGCGCCGCGGGCATCAGGGAGATCGAGACCTGGGGGCAGGCCGAGGTCGCTGAGTGCTGGAGGCAGGTGACGTTGCAGGCCTTCACACTGAGCAGCTCCGAGAGCCGAAGGTAGCCGTCGAAGGCCACTGCCGCGGCAGCCCCCACGAGCCGCTGGCGCGGGCATGGGGAGCTGAGGCACTGATCGATGATCAGCAGCGCCGTCTCCCATGGGCAAGGGTCCCGCTGCTCCCCCGGCGCCGCCTTCGAGAAGCCCTTGAGCGTCAGGCGGGCCTGGGGGAACTCGGAGGCGTCCCTGGGGTTGATCTTCTCCTCGAACGCGTAGCCGTAGAGCGCGGTGCGAGCTGCGAAGATGCCGTCCCCGGCCAGGAAGATGCCCTGCAGGTAGTCCACCATGAGCTGGTCCCTCTGCGCAGGCGTGCGCTGCGGGTAGTGGTGCCTCTCCGCGAAGCGCTTCACCTCCGCGGCCGCGCGGCCGTAGTGCTGCTGCGTCAGCGGCTTGACGCGGCGGCGTGCCAGGAAGTCGCTGCGGGCCACCTCGTTGTGAGCGGCCCTCTGCAGCCCGATGGCGGAGCGGGGGCGCCGTGGCCGCGAGCTGCTCGGCGCCGCCGCTGAAGCCCTCCTGGCCAAATCGGCGGCGCCGGTCGCGCTCGGCGGCCTGGGCCTGCGCGATGCTGCTGCCCCAGTCGAGCTGGCCCGGCTGCCACTCCTGCGGGCGGGCAGACAGGATCGGGCGTGGGCGCCCAGGCGCGGCAGCCGACAGCGGCTGCCAGGCGAGCCCCCCCTCGGCATTCAGGCCGAGCACCATCGAGACATCCGGCTTCGGGCGCACAGGGTCGTAGGATGCTAGCCCACTTGCGAGCCAATGCCTCCGGATAACGTCCAGCGAGACTGGTCTTCCAGACGGGGCCCCGTCCAGGGCCCAGACGCACCTTGCCTGCAAGGACCTCGTGAACATGATCTCGGGAACAGCTAGCATTCAGGGCCTGGAGGGGCTTCAGGTTGGTGACCAGGGTAGTGGGCTTCAGGCAACGGCAATTGTATTGGCAATAATGCACGTTGACGAAGTAATGACAATGACGTTCCAAGAAAGCTGTGACCTCTGAACATTGCCAAAGACGTGACGATGAAGGAGTCTCGAGGGACCAGTTTACGCCAAATCGAACACATAGGCGCAGCAAGTCGACAGTGAACGAGACAGAGCCAGCACCAGAGGCAAAATGCTTGGCCCGGCTGTGCGCGGGCGTGGCCTGGCTGAAGGGCGTGCACGGGGTGCCGAGGTGGACATGCCATACCTCTCGCCGCACGATCAGGGAGCGGATGACGCGGATCACGTTCTTGTTGGTCAGGTCGTGCCACGCGCCTCTGGAGATGTCGACGGGCACCCAGCAGCGGATGCCCTCGTCCAGGCAAGCCGCGGTGAGGCGCGCGCAGCCAGCGTAGAGCTCGAGGACGTGCCGGGGGCGCCGCCGGCTGCGCGGCGGAGCCCGCAGGCGATGTGGCCCGGCCCCGGCCGGCGCGTCCAAGTGCGCCGGGCCTGGGGCGGGCGGCGCGGCGGCCGCCGCCGGCGGCCCCGCCGTCTTGCCCTGCGCGGCGGCGGGCGGCCGCAGGTCGCGGGTGGCACCCCGCTGCGTCTGGCCGGGCGCCAGCTCGAACCTGTCCGCAACTCTGGAGTCGTAGTCAGTGGGGTTCCGCTTGCTCTCGGAGTAGCGGTGGTAGTGCTGGATACCTGTGGCGATCTGCCGAGCGGCCGACTGGCAGGCCAGCTGGCGTAGGACTGGGTTGGCACACCTGCCTTTCTCGAGCGCCATCATGGATGAGAGGTTGTCCCCAATGGAGAGGGCGCGGCATCCGTGAGCAGCCACCGACCGAGTGGCCCGCCTGAGCCCCAGGAGGGTCGTCCGGCCCTCCAGCACGCGGATCGGGGCGGGGAAGAGGAAGGCGCCGCGCACGACGAGCTGCCACCGGTGCACCTCCTGGGGCCTCCAGGGGCCTCCTGTGGCCTCCTGGAGCCTCTGAGGACCTCCTGGAGCCTTCTGGGGTCTCCTGGGGCCTCTTGAGGCCGCCTGGGGCCTCCGAACTACATGCACACACAGAGACACAAATCACACCCAACACATCACACGCTAGACAAACATCACAGACACACACACACACAACACACACACACATACAACGCACAGACAACACGCACAACACAGAGCACACATCACACACACACCCGCATAACACTCACAATCCTGGGGCCTCCTGGAGCCTCTTCCTGCTTCAAACGCCCTTTCATTTTTTTTGTATGAGCCTGGGCACACACGTGCCACTTGTATACATACATATATATATATATATATGTATATATATGTATATATATATATATATATATATATATATATATATATATATATGCATGCAGACATGTATGTCTCTATTATATGTATAACAAAAAACAAACTACAAAAAACAGGCCCGGCAAGAAAAAGGAGAGAGCGGGACGGTGACGAGTCGAGAAGTTTTCTGACGTGCGGATAGCGGGCGCGAGGCGCATTTGCCGACGCCCGGTCGCCGTGCCCGGTCAGTCGGGCCCCTTTGGCAACTGCGCGATTCGCTGCACCGCCAAGCGGGCGAAAGCAGCCGGGCTGCCCCGAGCGCAGGGCAAAGAACACGAGGAGCACTGACTCACCACGCGGTGCGGTCACCGCACCTGGGGCCCCCGAGGAGGCGGGGGACGCGCAAAGCCCCCTTCTCCCTGGCCCGAGCCGTGGCGTCGCGCGTTCGGCTCCCCGCGAGGCTCGCCTCGGTGGAAGCAGCCCGCGGGGGCGGCACGGGTGCCGGCGCCGCCGCCTCGCCGCGGCCGGCCGCTGCCGCTGCTCGTCGTCGCCGCCGCCTCCGCCGCTGTAGCCAAACTGGATAGCAAGGATGCGCGATAGCAAGCTCCCTTGTACACCCGTGACAAAGTTTTTCGGAGCGGGGCTGGCCATCGAGAGTGGTTACGAGGATGGACCGAAGAGGCAAGGATGCAAGGGTACCCTTGGGAAGGTGACCCATCCTTATCATCGATTTCGACTATATCCCCTCTCCATCTCGGAGGACAGAGCGCAGATGAACCACCCTCATAACCCTGAGATCCAAACGTTGCAACTGTTTCCTCCCTGGAGATGTTCGACCGTTTTCGGGCCCAGGTAGGCTCACAGATCGCTCTGGCTCGAAAAATACATCAGATGAGGTCTAGGGCTCTGGTCGTGAGTTCTCGCGATGTTGTAATTTTGATCGCAACGTCGGATCTCACATAATGAACACCCCTACAAGTTAAGCCGTTCCATAAACGCACCCAAAGAAGATGTCGAACAGGAAAGGACTGTGCAGCACACGCCCGGGACTGTTCAGAACACGCCAATTCAGAACACGCCAATTCATGATGGTCGTCGCCGTCGTCTCGGCCGTCGTCGTCGTCGGCGGGGCCTCCGCGAGTGGCGTGGCCTCGTCCTGGCGCTCCAGCGGCTCCTGCTCGTGGGGGGGCTGCGGGGCTGGCCTGGCGGGGCGCGTCGGGTCAGGAGGGGGCGGCCAGGGCGACCCCTGTCGCGGCGGGTCCCTGCCATGACGAGCACCTCGCCTCCTCCCAGGACGCGGGCCAGTGGATGGAGATGGCGAACGGACAGCACACGCCCATACAATACAATCGGACCCAGGCCAGAAGAACATCCTCCAAGAACATGAGACCGTGTGCCGGCCACACATATGTTGTATATCATACCTGACATACCACTACATAGTGCCACAGAGCAGATGATCCGATAACATCTCAAAGCGTATGGTGACAGAGATGAACATCACATAACATACTCAATCGTAAGAGAGACGTACAAGTTAAGATGAACATCTTAACATACGACGCATCAAACGTCACAAGCGTCACGACGTCACTTTTCCTGTCGAGAACAGTTCAAGACATTCTAGAACATAGCATGAAATAACGTGATTGCATGCAACACGGTTGAATCTTTTGGAATCCAGAAGCGGCAGTTGTGCAGTGTTGGGAGGAGGAGGAAAATAGGGAGGAGAGGTCCGCCTCACCTCCGTCCTCTTCCTCCTCCTTCGTTGTCCGCCTCTCCCAGCTGCTCCTCCTGCTGATGCTTTTCCTCTGTCCTCTTCCTCTTTCAACAAGCTGCGGCTCTCTATCTGGTTCGCACCGCTCGTTTTCGAAACTTGCTTTTTCGACCCGGGGTTTCTTTAGATTTCTTCCGTCAGGAACTCTGGGTTTGTTGGATTTGGAGACAACGGAATTCGCCACCCGGCCCGACCGCCGCACTGGCCGAGACCACAGGCGCAGCGTTCCACCAATTCGGCGATAGCGCGCCGTCGGGAACAACCGCGACTCGAAGCAACTTCTTCTTTGTTGATCTTCTCCGCCCCTCGCTCAGCATGCGGACCAGTCCAGCTGCCTCGCCCCGACAGGACACCGAGGCGAGCACGATTGTCGGGCGAAGAGAACTATGCACATGCACCGATCCTGGCAAGGCCCATCCTTGACCCAGGATCGGTGCATATACCTTCCTGGCCAAGGTGGGAGGGCGTATGCACCGATCCTGGGCTCAGGATGGGCCTGGCCAGAATCGGTGTATGTGCATAGTTCTCTTTCCTCTAGAAGATTGGGGCTAGGCAGCCTTGTGCCCCCCCCCGACAAATGCGCACACCGACCCCAACCACGGACGGCGTGTGAGCCCCGTGCCCACGGCCGGGCACCCGAGAGAGCCGCGGTGCCTCAAGGCAAAGAGGCAGCCGGCACGGTGCAGCGAGGAGTCACACCGCGCGGTCGAAGGCGGCCACCCCGTGGTAGTCGCGGCGCGCCCCGCGCGCACAGGCCGCGCCCGCGCGGGTGGCGGCCAGCAGCCCGGCCATCGCCACACTGGCCAGGAGCCACAGGGCCCCGCGGCCCCCCGCGGGCAGCGCGGCGGCGCGGCTTCCAGCTCCGCGGGCGTCCGCCGCAGCGGCGCCCAGGAGCTCCGCGGCAGCTGGGGCCTCGAAGAGGACGTCGGCCGGGCCGGAGGCGTTGGCGGACGCATCGATGTGGAGCCTGACGCTGCCGAAGGCGCCACTGGAGACGACGGGTTGCGCCAGCGCGTAGTTCCGGGCTGCGCCGTGGCTGAATAAGTTCACATCGTGCTCGCACGAGTTCCGCCACCACGTGGAACGAAGGAGCGTGGGGAGGGACACTGGCGAGACCAAATTGGCCGCGCTTCCCGCCCACCAATAAATACCTTCGGGTTCTCCAGCATCATCATAATAATAATAATCAGCCGGCCCCCTTGTGGGGCCATCAGGCTGCGAGGCTCGGCTTGCTGCTCCCTGCGCCCTCTCTGTTTCCTATTGTAAAATTGTTGAAGTCCACGCGAAGGGGGGGATCCCAAAAGGCCCCGGTCACCCTCCCCGAGGTGCGTTATCTGAATTCCTGGGGGCCGTGGGACACGTACAAATACTTGAAATTCGCGCTCCCGACGCTATAATCCCTAGTAAATGACGCAGTGCTTGCGTCCCCGAGGCCACGATCCCTCGCAAATTGCACCGCGTCCGCGTCCCCGAAACCACGGTCCCTGGTAAAATATACAATACTCCTGCCGCTGAGGTCACGATCTCCCTGTAAATTGCACTGCGTCCGCACCTCCACGATCCTTCGCGAATTACGCCGTAGTTGCGCCCCCGAGGCCACAATCCCGCGAAAATTATACAACATTCGCGTCCCCGAGACAGCAACCCTCGCAAATTATACGATTGCTGCGTCCGCGAGGCAACAAAACTTCGTAAATGATGTGTTATACAACGCTCGCGTCCCCAAGGCCAACCACCCTCGCAAATGAATCACTTCTTGCGCCAAAGAGGCAACAACACCTCGCAAAATGCTGAATAATTCATTCCCCGATGCAACAACCCCTCCGAACTGATACAATATTCGCCGGGGCTTCGGCGCAGCGCGCCTGGACCTCCAAGACGGCCCAAGAGGGTCCAAGATGCCTCCAAATCCGCCCAAGAAGCCACCACGACAGCCCAAGACTGCCCAAGAGGACTCCAAGACGGCCTGAGAGGTCTCCGAGCGGTCCTCCAGGAGGGCCCGACGAAGCTAAAATCATGATGTTCCTTCGGTTTGTTGTTGGATTTTCGTATTTGCTCCTTTTTCGGCCTACCGACGGCCCAAGAGGCCCCCAAGATCGCCCCCAGAGCGCCCAAGAGGCCTCCAAGATGGCCTCAGAACTGGCCAAGAGGCCCCCAAGACGGCCCCAAGAGGGCCCAAGAGGCCTCCAAGATGCCCAAGGAAACCCCCCAAACGGCCCTGGAGCACCCCAGGATGACCCCAAGTCGGCACAGAAAGGCTCCGAATACAGCTTCCGACGGCGTCTGACGGGCCAGGGGACCACCAAGACTGCCAAAGGTGGCTCTAAAAATTTGAAGGGGGTTGGGGGGCCCAACCAACAGCTTCGCCGAAGGCGAAGCCCAACCCCAGCTCTGTTGCATCGTAGTAGCGATAACCCCAGAAGTACGAGATCGTCGCGGGAGCGCCAGGCCATGCCAAGCGAATGTGCTTTCGGTCTCGATGGCAAGTAGTGTGCCTCGCGATGAAGCGCAGTCATGTGTTGGCGCCCGGCCGCTTGAGTACAAACGGCCGCGGGCAAACGCTCGCTATCTCTCGCCTTTGCCCCGGCCTCCTTTAGAGTTGGGGGGGGGCGGGGCGAAGCGTGAGTCCGCCGCCCGCTGTGCAGTAAACGCTAAACACACAAGGTAGGCAGCAACTGGCGGGCTCAAAAGGTTGACCCCCGCGCAGATGCCC